CTGAGGTATTCACTGAGCACGCTGTCAGTTGGGGCCATCTTTGTGATGTATTCCAGCTTCTTTTATTCTTTCTAGCTTGCAGTAGGGCTACCCTCAGACCACAAATAGTTTAAACAGCTGGAAACTTTCATTGATCTGATCACTGCGTTAGAAAACAGCTTGTGAGACATTCCTCCCCCCGAGGTGAGCCTAATTTATCCCGACGCCCAAAAACTGACTGTCACTGCGGTCTCTAACAAGACAATCTCAATCTGCACACCGAGCTGACTGGTCAGGAGGTGTTTACTTTGTATGTTGAACAACAGAACATCTGGGTTCAGTGTGTGTTGGCTTAAAGATCAGCTGACCGGGTCAGTGTTGTTATGAGCTCTAACCAGCAGAGGGCATCTTTCAGAGAGGACAGGAAAGAAAAGCAGAACATCTTTGTGTTCGTTCTTCCTTCAGCAATGAATGATACATCATCTTCTCCTCCTTTCTGCTGCTCTTCTTCTCTGCTGACAAATTAAATCAGTGTCACATTTAAATGCAACACACAGTGCAGGCAGAGTGTGTGTGTGTGGATCTGCAGCATCTGCATTTATGGCTGAAACACTTTAACCCTTTAGTACCCCTGTCCTGAAAAAGAAAGGCCGCTGCATGCGTGTTTCTGGCTGATTATCAACTAAAGCTGTTACTGCTGCATTGTGCACACAGCCTGTGTGGCTCAGAGGCTAGCTGCAGTCCTTTACCAAATCATTTCTGTTGAGGCAAACTAACTGCATCTCCAGGCTCTCGACATTTTCTGTTCTCCATGTTACTGACTGAATTGATACTTATCACGTTTCAGACAGTTTGATTTCTTCTGTTATATTGGAAATAGTGCGCTGCTATTATTAGTTAGGATTTAGTTGTGTTTCATTCCAGCTTTTGTTTCTTCTGTAACTCCTTAATAACAAGTCTTTTCTTGTCCTCAGTGTTTTACTTTCAGTTGTGCGTATGTCTGTGTGTTCCATATTGTCAAGCTGGTGTTGTCACGTCTCTCCGTGTTTCCTGCTTGGTTTTGAAGAGTCTAGTGTTTCCATGTTCAATGTGTTTTGTTTTACTTTCTCTGTGGCGTCGTGTTCATTTGTGTCAGCTGTGTCCTCCCCGGGTGTTTCCACTACCCTCTTGTGTATTTAAGTCCTCGGGTTGTCTGTTTATGTCAAGTCAGGTCACAGAAACTTCCTCTCTTCATTCCTTCTTCTCTTCCTCCTCAGGTTCATGCGCATGTCAGATTTAGTTTTCTTCATGTCCACGTTTCACATGTTCCCGTTCACTGTCATGTTCTAATTATCATAGTCACTCCTAGTTTAGGTTTCAGTTTTAGTTCTCGCCCCCTGTTCGCCTCGCTTTGTTTTGGTCTTCATGTTTTTCAGCCAAATAAACGTCTCGCTTTTTATCAAGCTTAGTTTTCTCTTGTGTCTTGAGCAGAGATGGGCGTTACTGTAATCTGATTACTTTTTTCAAGTAACGAGTAAAGTAAGGGATTACTATTGCAAAAACGGTAATTAGATTACCGTTACTTTCCCGTAGGAACGCTGC